CTAGATATCTCCCAAACCCCTCACTTTTTTCTACTTCCCCTATCACATCCTAGTCCACCATCATTTTTTCCTCAACTACTGGAACAACCTCCTAACTGATGTCACATATCCACTCTTGGCCCTTGAAATTCATTCTTCCACATTGCTTCCAGAGTGGTCCTTCTAACACATCATCAATTATGTCACTATCTTGCTCAAAACCCTTCAGTGGCTTCCCACTGTTCCTAGGATAAAGTCCAAAACCCTTACCATGGCCTACAACATGCTTAATAACAGTAAGAACACCTAACATTTAGCAAGCATTTCTTATGTGCTAGTCACCATGCTATATACTTGCAGGATTATTTCATTTTATTCTCACAGCAACATTGGGAGGCAGGAACTATTTCCATCATCTTCATTTTGAGGAAACTGAGTCAAAGAGAGATAATGTAACTTGTCTAAGGTTGTAGAGCTGATAAAGTATTGGAGCTAAAATCTGAATCCGGGTCTGATTCTAGAGCATGTGCTTCTAAGCTTTCATGGCCTCCTCAACTGTATACTCCAAACATATCGCATTACTTTCAATTCCTAGAACTCATCTGCTCTCTCTTACCACGAAGCCTCATACATACTGTTCCCTATGACTGGAATGTCCCCCTCACAAATCTCACTTTGGCCTGGATAAGATTTATTCACTCATCAAGTCTCTGCTTAAATGTCATCTCCTCAGGAAACTCTTTCCTCATTATCTAAAATTAAATTTTTTTATTTACTTCTTTATGTTATGTCTCCCTTGAGTAGAACATCAAAATTGTTTATCACTGGTCCCCAGTTCTTAGAATGACATTCACCAGAGGTTCAATAAACATTTTTTGAATGAATGAGTGAACTAATGAATGATGTAGGGATAGAAATTCACTAATCTGCTAAATTCTATTCTGACTGATAAGAAACAAAAAGAAGCCAAATTCAGATTTGTCCATCCACTAAATATTTATTTAGTAGCTTTCAGGTTCCAGCCAATACTCTTGAGAACTCACAGCCCTGGTAGGGAAGACAGACACATAGGCATATGACTACAGCACAATAAGGAAAGCGTCCGTTATAACTGTGGCGAGAATAAAGTGCAATAAACACAGAGATGAAAAAAAAGAGTATAAATCCATAGGAAACTTTCACAGTAGAAGAGACTCAAGGGTTAATTAGTCTTGAAATAAATATCATATAGTTCAGTATTTCACTTATGAAAAGGGAGAGGAGCATCCGCTATGTGCTGGGGCACTTTACATCTCACTTAATTCTCACAATAACTCTATGTTGTTATTCCTGTTTTATAGATGTGGAAATCCAAGCTAAGAGAGGTCAAGTAACTTGCTCAAGGTTACGTAGTACATTAATGCTGTTGTTGTGTGCCATCAAGTTGGTTCTGACTCATAGTGGCCCTATAGGACAACTGCCCCATAGGGTTTCCAGGACTGTAATCTTTACGGAAGCAGATTGCCACATCTTTCTCCTGCGGAGCAGCTGGTGGGTTTGAACTGCTGACTGAAAAGTTGGCAGCCAAGCACTTAACCACTCTACCACCAGGGTTCCTTAGTATAATAATAAAAATAAAAAAAAACCAAACTCATTGCCATCAAGTCGATTCCAACTCATAGCAAAAGCAGCAGAATTTGAGCGTAGGTATATTTGACTCCAGTACCCATTTTAAAAAAACAAACAAACAAAAACAGTTACTGCCCAGTCAATTCCAACTCATGGCAACCCCATGTGTGTTAGAGTAGAACTCTACTCCATAGGGTTTTCAATGGCTGATTTTTCACCTTTCTTCACAGGCTCCTTTGGGGAGACTCCAACCTCCAACCTTTCGTTTAGCAGCTGAGCTTGTTAACCATTTATTTGCATCAGCCAGGGACTCCAGTACTCATTTACTTACCATTATAGCACGGACTTTTGGCCTTGTATTCCCTTCGGAGCCTATTTATTTCTATTTTCAAAATAACTCTTAACAAAACTGATTATCTGGTTTCCCAGTCTAATAATATAAATATGCAGCAACCTGATTCAGCAAAAGATCGAAGTGACGTATACTGACAGCAAGAGAAGGGACAGAAAAACTATAAAAATTGGGCACAAAAAGTAAAAAAAAAATCACAATGGCATCTCTTAGTGTAGGGTCATACAATCCTATACACTCCATCTTTTGTTATACAATAGTACTTGATGTGCATCATGACGAGCCCGTTATCGGAAAAAAAGGTTGTTTAGTCACTAGTCTAGGAGACAGAGAAATAACTTTTGATGCTTAGAATGGTAGACTTTAGGTATCTAGAAAATTAATTTCTCTTTAGTAAGTCTGGACAAGTGAATTATAACGATCGTATCCAAATTGTTATGGGAAGAAATATTCCAAGATCTTAGAGTCTTAATTTTATGGAAATGATTATTTTTCTGTTGCTTTAAACTAAATTCAAGCCAGTAGAGAAAAACTGTTAATCTTGGTTTACATATATATCCAAGTAAATTGTAAATTTTTAAAACTTTTCGTACTATGACTTTGAACAACACATGTGGATTGAGTAACTTATAGATCGACAAGCATATATAAACTATATTACTGAACATTCTTAATATCTAAAGGCAACCTTCCTCAAAAAAAAAAAACTTCTAATAAATAATGTACAAAATGGGGAAAACTATAATATTTTTAATCTGCTGCACTCACAATTTAAATAAATGTGTATGTGAAAAAGAAAAGAAACAAAACATGCAGACAAACACAGAGCAAGTTGGTTGACTATTTACCATAGAAGTGTTCCCATCATATACCCTACCTGGGTTGTGAACTCCTTTATAACACGGGCTTTAATTGTTTTATATTTTTTTTTTTAAAAAAAAGGAAAGCTCACATTTAGAGAACACACCCTCTTTTTTGTTTTTGTTTTTAAGAACAAGGGAAAATTGTTTCAGCAGTTATCTTCAACGAGGGGACTAGGAAACACTGAATATCCTTTTATCATTTTAAAGGTTTTTATACGTGACACTTTCCACACAGAACATTGTAACAATGTGAAAAGTATACTGGCTATGCTTCACAACATGTAAAAGTTAACATAAGGAAAAGCAAGTCTTTACTTGCAATTAACTATCATATATATTTCCAGAAAGAATGCAGTTTCTACTTAAAACTCTCTAGAAAGACAATACTTTGTTTACTTATATTTGGAAATTGCTTTTTACTTCAGTTCATTTTTTTCCAATTTTAACCCAAAATTCAGTGGTCTAAGAACACTATTTTAAGATGTATTATTAATTCATAATAAGAGTTTACATCATGACGACCTATCAGAAGTAAATACAAAGTGAATAACTGCAAGTAAATTTTTGCTGTACTAGATAGACGGCATTATTTATAAAGCTCTCCTTACCTGGACGCTCTTCAGAATAAACTCAGTTTTCTCCCTTACATCTTTAAAAGGACACCTCTTGGAAAGCATGAGCAGATGAGCGAGAAGTTTATTCAACCCATCCAAAGAAACAGCATTTGATAGCCCGTCTGATGGACGATGTGGTGTCTCTTTAACAGAACGAAGATACTCGGTTTTCCTCAAAATGATTTGCCTAATGTTCTCCAGTGCTGTCTCTCTAGTACTTGAATCTCTACTGCACAGTCCATCCCATCTCATTTCATTCTCTCCTTCAGCCATGTCAACTTGGAGCATTTCCTTTTCAATCTTCAGTTACTTTTCACCATGTCTACAAATCAGTTTGTATTTTTTTAAATGAGAAATGTAAAATCAGAGAAATCGAGTCGTCACGAAAACACACGTTCAGGTGACATTTGGAACCAGTTGTCTCTTATATTGATGATTTCCACCGAGCTACAAAATAGAGCTCACCCTCTCGTTCTACACGAAGGAGCAGTCTTCAGGTCAGAGACTGAAGGGAAAAAAAGTTGGAAAGTTGCAACCTTACGGCGCTGGCTCTGCTGGAGAGTGAGTCTCGGGGAAGTGCTCTCCTCTGCCTCGCGGGGTCAGCGGATATCCTCACGTCGTGGAGCTGTCAAATCCGTGCTATGCCCAGAAAGGCTGGTAACAGTTGAACACTCTCCAGTCATTCGGGTTTTTTTCTGTCTGGGAAGGCACCGCGTTCTCCGGAGCGTTCCCACCCCGCCTCTCCTCCGGCACCAGTCCCCGCCCTCCGCAGCTCCTCCTTGTGCCCTAGCGGCCAGCTGAGCGCCGACAGGGACGACTCGCCGAACCTGGCCCACTGGCCGCCCCGGTCGTAGACCTGAGCGCTCCCGGCGGGCGGGAGCCTTCTGCGGCTGCAGTCTCGTCGGCTGTGTGGGAGGAGAGTGCCCTCGGCCCCGCGGATTCCGGACCCTCAGGAAGACGCTGCTTCTTCTCCAATCCCTGCACCCTTGCCCACCGCCCGCCAAGCCAGACGGGCACAGGGCGGCCCCGCACCGGGCTGGGCCGCGGAGCTGGCGGAGCGGCAGGGCCCCAGGCGCAGAGCCCGCCCCTTCGTCTAGCCCCATCGGTGGGGATCGGCCCAGAGGGCGGGAGCAGGGAGGGGAGATGGGGTCCTCACCCCCAGCCCCTCCCCTTTCTCCGCCCGGCACAAACCAGGAGCCGCCCCTGCCCCTGCGCCCTCTTCCCCGCCCAGGCAGCCGCGACCCGCGAAGGCAAAGCCATTGGAAAAAGCCCCGCCCTACGCCAGGATACCTCCAGACCCCAAGCCCGCGCGCGGCCGACAACGGCTGCCGGCTCTTACGCATGCGTAACAGCAAGGAAGGCGCATGCGTCTGAAAGGCACTTAGCTTCTGCCGGTTAGTTTTTCCGTTCCTAGACGTTTGGTGTTGGAGTGGAGAAGGGGGAAAAAAGTAAGATGTATGCTGAAACTTTATCAAAGACAAGCAGGGCAAAAAAAGAGGACATGGAGCGCTCCTGGAAGAAAAAAGGCTAAATTTCAGAGTAATCTAAAAATAGTAACCGCGTCTTTATTACCCCAAACCCAGATTTAAGGGGAAGGGAGTCCTCGCGTTGACTTCTGGGAAACGTAGTTTTTATTCTGCGGACGTTTCGTTAGCGACAGAAACTACAACCCCCAGGGACCACCGCGACGTTGCCTGTGGCGGCCTACGAGCCAACGGTTAGGAAGCGCGGATTGACTGAGATCGTCGGCTAGGTGAGCACTGTAGGCTTGGTTGCTTCCCTTCCCGGCTTTCTTTGACAAGATTTTTTTTTTTTTCCCCTTCCTCCTTTTCCCCTGGGTTTTGGAGACGAAGCCATCTAGGGCTGCTGTTCACATTTCAGGGACTTTTTCCAGTAACCTGAGTGGGAAGGACTAGTCCAGGTGTCCAATCCCCCGTGCGTGGTGAGGCCAGAATTTGGAGGTCGCGATCCCGAGGATTGGAGGGAGCGGCCTTCTTTAAGATGTAAAGGAGATAAAATGAAAACGGATGCTCCGCACTGCTGCCCCAGCGTGCGCCGTTTTCTAGTAAACACGCGTGGGTTGAATTAGGCGTCCTTATGCAACTAAGCCTTTGTTTACGTCTGTATAGGGACAGTATGTGCCTTACTTGGTCAGTCAAATGAATCCCACGCAGGGCATTGAAACCGACTTGTCTAATCCGTTTCAAATGAGACTAAAAGAAAGAATCCCCAATATTCCTAGATACGAATTCTTGCAGGCTTTAAGGATACCATTAAAAAAAAAAACAATTGAAATCTCCAAAATTTTGTATCTTTAAAGATTCGATCATTTGTTTACAAATTACTGTTTGATTTAAAAAAGTTATGCCTCTTAAGAAAAGTCGGGATTTGAATGGCTGTCAGTGAACTGATAGAATGAATTCTTCACGTTGCAGAACAGATGTAGTTCTAAAAATTTAGCCTTGTAGGCATAGTGTAAACAGTGAAAGAGACACAGTCCCTACCTCGTTAAACAAAAACAAAACTACATAATAGTGTTATCTTTGGAGTGTCTAGAAAGAGGGCCACCTAGCCAAGTCTTGGAAAGTCCAAAACCAAACCAACTGATAGCGACCCCATGGGATAGGGTTTCTGAGGCTGTAACTCTCTATGGAAGGCGACTGCCAAGTCTTTCTCCCGAGCTGCTGCTGTTGGTTTCCATCCGCCGGCCTTTGGGTTAGCAGTCGATGGCTGTAACCACTGCTCCACCAAGGCTCAGTGGAGTCTTTTTCCCAGGGGAAGTGGGGGCCAAAGAAAGAGCATGTGCTGAGGCCCAGAAGTGAGAGAGGTATGGTACTTTAAGGAAACTGCAATAAGCCAAATCACATATTTTGGGAGGGATGGCTTTTTGTATATTGGTATATTTTGAAGCTGCAGAAGGACAGGTATTGTGAATTTTTCAGATAGTTTCTGAAAGTGACCGATGAATCGGTCTAATTTGGCAAGCCTCAAAGCATTCTAATACTACTGGTTTGAATCAATAAAAATGGTTATAACTATTCTTATAAGTGTGATTTTAAAAGCAAAAAAAAAATTCTTTTTTTGTTTCTCTTGTGGGCTCATCCTTCTTTACCTAGCTCAAAAAGGGTAGGGTAGTTTCTCAAGTCTAGCTTCCCTTTTCACTCCATAGTTGAATATGATCTCAGTCCATACACATGGCTTTACCAGCACCTATTTATCTGCAGATGACTCCCAAGTGTATAGCTCCATCCAGCTTTACCTCTCAGCTTTCATATATCCAGTTATCTCCTTGATACTTTTTGTCAGATATCTTAAAAGCACTTCAAACTCAACATGCCTAAAACCAAATACACAGTTATCCCCCATGAATCTGATTCCCTTCCAGTGTTCCCTATCTTAGTAAAGGTCACTGCCATCCATCCACTTGTGAAAATTTGAAACCTAAGCGTCATCCTTCATTCCTTCCTGTTGTTCATACCTCTGTAGCCAAATTATCAGCAAGTTCTGTCAGTCTTGTCTCCCAAATATTCCTCAAATCCACCCATTTTTCTCCCTCTGGTTTAGCACCGTTCAAATATTTGTTGAGTGCCTACTATATAACAGGACCCTGGGAATACAGCACTGACAGCTGCAGAGTGTGGTGTCCTAGAAGCCAAGTGAAGATGTTTGCCTTCTGCCAGAGAGCTTGCGTTCTTCTAGGGAGAGAGAGACAATACATAAATATGTAAACGTACAGTGAATCAAATGAAGAAGACAAATGCTTTGAATTAAAAACAGAAGGGGAATAGGGAATGTTGGGTTGTGGGGGCAAGTTCACTTTTAAATAAGGTAATCAGAGAAGACCTAATCAAGAAGGAGGCATTTGAGGGGATCTGAAGATGCCAGGGGGAAGAACATTCAGGTGAAGAGAACAGCCAATGTAAAGGCCCCTGGGTAGGAGCATGCCTGCACATTTGAGTTGTTGTTAGCTGCCATCGAGTCAGCCCTAACTCACAGAGACCCCATGCACAACAGTACAAGATGCTCCGTCCTGCGTCATATCCATCATCAGTTGCAGATCAAACCATTGTGATCCATAGGGTTTTTATTGGCTGGTTTTCAGAAGTAGATTGCCAGGCCTTTCTTCCTAGTTCATCTTAATCTGAAAGCTCCACTGAAACATGTTCAGCATCATAGCAACATGTAAGCCTCCATGGGCAAATGGGTGGTGGCTATGCATGAGGTGCATTGGCTGGGAATAGAATCGGGTCTTCTGCATGGAAGGCGAGAATTCTGCCACTGAACTAATTCCCCATCCTGACCCCCCCATGCACATTTGAGAAAGAAGGCTAATGTGGCTGGAGCACAGTAAGTACAGGAAATAGAGCAACATGAAGTCACAGGAAGAGGGTAGTGGTAGGAGATCATGTAGGTGATTGAAAAGACCTTGGCTTTTGAATTGACATGGGAAGCCACTAGAGGGTTTTAAGCAAATGAGGGCACAGTCTGACTCTTTTTAAAGAATTACTTCTTTTAAATTATTTTGAGTATAGACTGTGGGGAAGCAAGGGTACAAGCAGAGAGACTAGTTAGGAAGCTAAACTAAAAATCCAAGTGAGATGATAGGTGGTGGGTTGGACCAGGGTGTTAACAGTGGAGACAGTGAGAGGAGGACCAGTCTGGATATATTTTGATAGTATAGCCAACAGGTTTTACTGACAAATTGGATGTGAGTTGTGAGAGTAAAAGAGTCAAAGATGACTCCAAAGTTTTTAGCCTGAGCAGCTAGAAGGAAAAAATTGCCGTTTACTATCACGAGAAAGTCTACAGATGAAGCAGATGTGTGTCTATGTGGGTTGTGCCGGTGGGGGTGGGGGGGGGGGGGGCGGTTGTGAGATCAAGAGTTTAGTTTTAGCCATGTTATGTTTGAGATGCCTATAAAACATTCAAGCAGAGGTGTGGAGTAGGCATTTGGATAAATGAGTCTGAAGCTGAGGGGAGAGATCCTGGACTAGAGGAGAAAATATTAGGTTTCATTAGTGATTCAATAGTAGTTAAAGACCAAGAATAGTTAAGATCACCAAAAGAGGCACGGAGTTTAGGTCGATTTGGAGTAATCTGCAAAGGTGACTGTACAGGAGTGGCTAGTGAAGAGGGAGAACGGCAGAGTGTGGTGTCCTAGAAGCCAAGTGAAGAAAGTGATGAAGGAGGAAGAAGTGGTAAGTTAAATGATGCTTTAGGCCAAGTAAGATAAACACTGATAATTGACCACCACATTTAGTAATGTAGAAGTCTTTGGGAACCTTGATGAGAGCAGTTCTGGTAGAGTGAAGGATACAAAAGCCAGCTGGGTGTTTTATTCAGGAGGGAATGGGAGAAGAACTGGAAACAGTGAGAGTATGGATGCAGCATCTCTGTTACTGCTTTCTTTGTCCAGACTGTTCTAGTCTCATTCTTTGACTCATTAACTCCTTTCCTGCAGATCTTACCTCAAATATCACTTTCTCAGAGAAGTCTTCCTGAGAATGCTCATATAATAACTACACTCTTACTGTACCATATACCTTTACTTGCTAATATGTTACAAATGCAGTTTTACAATGGTCTGTGAGATAATTTGATTAAAGTGCGTTTGGCTCCAGTAAAGCTTCAGCACACAAGAGTAATGACTGTGCTTATTTTTGCTTATCATCGTATCTCCAGCTCAGACTACAGTGCCTGGCACCTAGCATGAACTCAATAAATGTTTGTTGAACAAATAAAAGAATAAACGAATGAATGATTAGAAGAAAATGTAATGTCACAGAACTTTCAAAGGTATTGCATAGTTACCTATTGCTTACAAAAACACAAGGTAATTCAAGGATGGAAGAAGGTACTTTACACTGAAAATGTTTTAGAAAATTGGTCTCAAAAGAGAGCATAACTTTTATTGCTGGTGAATTGTGGTGCTCACTCTCTAACTCATAGCGACCGTACGTACAACAGAACAAAACACTACCTGGTCCTGCGCCATCCTCACAATTGTTGTTATGCTTGAGCCCATTGTTGCAGCCACTGTGTCAGTCCATCTCAATGAGGGTCTTCCTCCTTTTTGCTGGCCTTCTACTTTACCAAGCATGATGTCCTTCTCCAGGGACTGATCCCTCCTGATAACATGTCCAAAGTATGTGAGACGTAGTCTTGCCATCCTTGCTTCTAA